ATCTCCCCAGAGAGCTGTGTATGCGGCAGAGTTGCGTTTTTGTTTATTTTGAGCTGTCTTGTTAAGGAAGGATTGATATGCCGGCATTGATGGGGGACAGCCATCAGGCAGTGTTTTCTGCCTCTGACGGCAGTGTGATAGTTTGCTTCCAGTGAAGTTGGACTCCCCATGTCTGGAAGCTGTCAGAAGTGGGAGCATGAAAAGGTCATGGCAGATGGCTGTGGATCGGCGAGTCGGGGAAGCCCGGTGAAGAAGGCCAATGGCCTCGCTGGCTTTCGAGGGCAGGGCCAGGCCCGGGCTCTGTCGCTCCTCACCTGCCATGGCTGGTAGGGCAGGGCCCCCCGGGCACCACTGTGAGGGAGGCACAGGGTGGGCGCGATGGAGCCCTTCCCAGCAGCCCTTCTGGGTCCTGAGACCTGCCAGATGGAATAACTTCAGGTGCCATCACTTGTCATGATTATCCGTGACAGAATTCAACCATGCTGAATTCTGAAACGGGAACCCCCGAAAGCCAACTTTTAAAAAGGTTTGGACTTATTTGGGTGAAGTTTTATTTTGGAAAAATACAGAAAAGGAGAGGATGTGGCCAGAGTTGACCACCGTGGCCGGTCTCCTCTCTTGTCTGTAAATGTTTTTCTGTTCTTCTCACATGATGTAAGGATTTCTCCACACCGGCTCTCCTCACACATCGTTTTTCTTGGTTATGTCTATTGCGTCATGGTTGGACTAACTAATCCTCTGTTGTTGGCCTTTTAAGAAGTACAAACTTAACAAAAGCCAGCTTCCCTTGTTTTCCCGGACGTGTGCTTGTGATTTGAATGACTTAAAACCAGTGCACAGCGGCTCTGTGAGGAGGGCCTCGGCCGTTCTTCCAGGGGCTTTGCTATGGCTTCAGTCAGAAGATCAAAACCAAGGTCAGCGGTCCGGGGAAAAAAAAAAAGAAGATACTGATAGGGCTTCATGCTCCCATTTCCCATGTATGGACAGAAATAGGCATGCACGTATTGTCACATTGGAATATGTATTCGTTCCTTGGTGAACATGGAAAGAAGACTGAAACTGGGAGGGCAGAGTTCCTCATTATGTCCTCTTGATTCACCTGAGTGAGTCTGTGCAGAGCAATGCAGAGAGCCATATTTAGGAACCAAAAACCTGTGGGCGTGAAAATGGCTTCTCCACTTAGAAGCTCTCCAGCCTCAGACAAGCACCTTGCCCTCCCCGGGGCGTGCTGGGAAGCTGCCCAGTTCTGGTAGAATAGTGTGGTGGCTGAGAACACACCCCCTGGGACCGGGTTGCTTGGCTTTCTCCCTTTCCAGCTGTGTCATCTTGGACAAGTTACTCCACCTCCCTGTTTCAGTGTCCTCCTCCATAAAAGAGAGACAAGTGTAGACAAGTGTAGTGACCAACCTTATAAGGTTGTGAGACTGGAATCAAGGTACACAAAGGGTTTCTAGCCATGCTGGCACATGGCTGGTGCCAGTCAATGTTCACCCCTCCTTGCCCCTGGCCTGGGCTGTGGCACCGGTCTCCTAACTGGTCTCCTGTCCACCAGGCTGCCTCCTCCATCCAACCAAAAAGTAGGCATCGACACCCATCAGACTCCCGGTTCAGGGACACAAGAGGTCTCTGCTGCCGGCTGGATTCTACAGGCCCCTCGTCAGCAGTGGGGCTGGGTGTGCTCAGGGACTGCCTTGAGGGATGGAGTGGGCCTGGGCCAGAATTAGGGATCTGCCACTCCTCCAGCCAGTGCGCCCTGCCTGAAGACCCTGAAACTCACACACACCTCCAGGAGGAGGAGATTATTTCATTGTACAAAAGGATCCTCCCATCAGGAAAGATTCCCCTACAGGTTTTTTTTAAATAGTGACTCTTCTAGGCAGGCGAGGGTTTTACAGATCATTAACTACTTGACTGAGAGCCTGCAGGGCAGAGAAACTTAAAGCCCAAGTGTTGGGGGCCCCTGCCAATTACAGATCAATCCAAAATGAAGATAAAGTATCTGTGGAACTGGAAGTCAGTGGGAAATGTGATTTGATTCAGGGAAAAAATCCGATTTACGCGCACCTTTTTTGGAACACGCCGATTGTTTTAAGTGGCGTTCCACCTGCTTGCCCATCTTGAACCGAAAGCATTCATCTCCCGCGTCTTCATCCTCAAACCCCAGACTTGGGGTTCTCTCTGAACGGTGACTGCACAGTCACCCCGGGAAAGGGCGTCATTGGGAGAGTGTTCTTGTGGCTGCACAGACCTTAGGCAATTGATGTCGAGAGATAGCCAGTAATGGATGAACTAAACCGTAACAATTTGCAGATAAAAATAATAGAAGTTACGTGTACTTTACATGATAAAAGAAAGATGAAAGAGGACCGGAGTCTGTTACATCGGAGATGGTTACACAAGTCCCGCTTTGTGAAGTAGGCTCTGTTGAAAAGATTGATGCCATGGGGAGTGACCTTGGCTTGGAGCAGGAGCTGGTGATGTATGTATGAGTATCCCTCTGCTAAATGGACCCAGATTTGTAGCACTAATATACATGGGAGCCCAGGACCAAACTCAGCACGGCAATAAATCAACAGCCACTTTGGGTGTCATTTCTGGTTTATATTCCACTGTTGTTCTATCACTTTAATTCATGTCACTATCATCTTTTCATCTGGAACAGTTTTATATAATTTTCCAGTGGAGTTACCTGACAAATCCTATCAAATTAACAAGGTACATTAACAATATTGACTGACTACGGCTTCAGGAGTTGCAGGGCCGTAGAACAAAATTTTAAAACGCTGTCTCTGGTGATGATTTTTTTTTTTTCCTGTTCTCTCTCTGAGAAAGAAACGTGGGCAGGGTCTGTTCCACAGGAGAGAGATGCACATTTATTTTGCTCTGCTCATTTTGACTTTTATAAATGTCAGAATGAGCAGAAGAGGAGAGGGGACGAGAGAGAGAGAGAGAGAGAGAGAGAGAGAGAGAGAGAGAGAGAGAGAGAGAGAAACAATTGCTCCCAACAACCATGGCACAAGTACTTTTCTTCTTTCAGGGAACTATAAACATAGCCAGACCTTTAACAATTAATGACCGAATTGGAGGGAGGAGTGTAACCGGGTGGTCATCATCTGTTTTAAGTGAAATGTAATAAAGTGGGTCTCCTGATACATCCTTGCCCTCTTGAAATCATCTGGACCCGAGCGTCCAGAGTCCATTGGACTTACGACATTATGCCTCATTGAAATATGGTGTCCCTGAAATATGTCCAATGACAAATTCCAGCATTCAATTAATAAAATATATATATATATATACACATATCTATATATATATGTATATATGAGATATATATATATATATATATCAATTGTTTGTCTTTTCCAAAGACCACAGAATAACGGCCGGGACAAGCAAGCACATTGCATTGTCTCCGCAGACAGCTGAGGAGTCTCCCTGTAATCTCCTGTCTTTGTCTGCTGTGCTGGGATTTCTTTATTCATAGGATAAAACAGAACGAGGAGTCTGTGGCAGACCTCGTCATTAAGATTTTGTTTGTTCTCTTTCTTTTTTAAAAAAAAAAAAAAATCTGCTTTAAGACTGTGGTCATTGTGGGGGTTTATAGTGGTTTTGTTGTTGTTATTGTTTTCATTGAACTGTTTTTTCTTTTGGCTTACTAAGTTTTCTCACATTATACTGAAACATTCCTAAGGGCGATCCAGAGAATGAACTATATTAACTCTGGTTGTCTTTTCTGTTACAGTGTGCGTGTTTGATTGTTTGATTCCTAATATCTGTACTTCATTTTGCTCTTTTCACTCTAACCCTGACCTTTAAACTGTGACCTGGAAATTAATTACTTTCAAGACTCCATCTGGGGCCCGCTCCGGCAGGCATGTGGAAGGTTTTTGTCTCACTTCATGAACAGAAATCCTCAGTTTTCAGCGGAAGAGGAACGAGAGAGCATCTAGCCTGGCTGTGTGTGTCAGGCTGAGCCTGTACCGCTGGTGACCGGGGGCCAGCGCTGTGTACACCCTCCGTCCTGGGCGCCACCGTGTCCGCCTGTCTCAGTTCTGAGGGGAAGCCTGAAGTGCCAGGATGTGACATTCTGGATCTCCGTTATAAAGCCTTAGCGGCACAAAGCCCACACCCCCTGCTGCCTCTCCCTCATTGGAGCAGTGACCTCCACAGCCTGCGGCCAGGCTCCAGCACTTAAACTTGGATGGCTTTATGTGAAGATCCTTTGATCCTCCTGTGACCTCCTTTACGTCTAGCATGGATAATGTCAGAGAAGGGAAGAGAGAGATTTTTTCCCATTTTTAGTTTGTGAGATTTTTCCAGATTAGAAATGGGTAGCTTGGCTATTTAGGCTAATATTACATATAGGTGATAGTACAGATTTATCTCCAACCCAGATATTATTCCAAAGTAACAACAGAAAAAGACCATGGCGTGGGGGGCGGGGGGTGATCCCCGTTGGGTGGCTCATTTGGTTGGCGAGTGTGATCCCACATTCAGGAGGCAACCAATTGATGTAGTTCGCACATGGGAAACATCCATGTTTTCTCTCTCTTTCTCTCTTTCTCTCAAATCAAATATACATACATATTTATTTCTTTATATGCTTGGGTGAAGATTACAAAAAAAAACACCACAGACCAGTGATCATAATTGGTTTGTAAATGAGCCTTATAGTTTATGTAATTGTAATATATAGATGATGTAGGGTTAACACAGTATAAATAATTGTATGTATTATGTCTATGAAGGCGTATTTCTTAATACTTTTTTATATAATTTTTGGTTGTCCACCCCCTCACCTCACCCACTTGAGAAACCAAACTGTGCAGCTTCTGTGTGCCGTTTGGGGTCTCCTTGGGCCTGTCTTCAGCCCACGCCTTCCCCGGAGCCCGGGTACCTCCCATGTGTGACTTACAAAGCAGGTCAAATGATTAAACTGAAATCACTTACACCTTCCACTTCTGTGGCTTCTTTTTTTGTCCCCCCTCGGCTTACAGGTATCTCTGGAGACAAAGTAGAGATAGACCCTGTTACGAACCAGAAAGCCAGCACTAAGTTTTGGATTAAGCAGAAACCCATCTCGATCGATTCTGACCTGCTCTGTGCCTGTGACCTTGCCGAAGAAAAAAGCCCCAGTGAGTAGTCCCTTTTATTTATGTCTCCTTCCCCTCTCCCCCCTCTTCCCTGTGTGCTGGGTGCCAGCAGAATATATTACCACCGTGTCCTTTTTTCCTTGGGTCTGTTTAATTCATTACCAGAAATTTCTTTTAATCAAATGGGATTGTGTTATGGTGCCCAGAGCCTGACACGGTCCCCCTGCTGCTCCGTCTTGATGGCAGCAGAGAACCTCGCAGCTCCTGACCCCGGTCGCCCCGCCTGGGCGCCACTGGAGGAGGGGCCTCCTGCTGAGCGTGTGCCGTCACCAGAGCCCTCATTTCCCCGGGTGCTGTCTGCCTCTCCCCGTTCGGGGGACTTGGCCAGTTAGTCCCGGACCTGCCTTCCTCCCTGGCCAGATGGAGGGAAGCTGGGGATTTCCTCTGTCAGCCGAAGACTAGATTTAGATATCCATCATGCTGAAGTGTCAACACCCTCCACGTTATTGGCAGTTGCACGACCTACCAGCTCGTAATTAAACTCCTGCCCGTCCTGCCGAAGAGAGCACTGCGGGCTGGCCGGCCTCTGCCTAGACCATGACCGTAGATGCAGTCTGGTTGTGAGTTTTGGCATATTAGGTTTTTGCAGTTAAGCAATTGAGTGTGGCAGTTAGATTAATCATTTTTAGGACTTCGGTGGCATCGAGGGGCAGAAAGAACACGGATCACACTGAAATTCCTCCGTGGAAAAAAATTTTAATACAGAAGGATTTGTGAGTTGCCTGGAGAAGGCTGTGAGACGCTGGTTCTCGAAGTCTGGTCCATGTCAGCATTGCCTGTGGAGCTTACAGAATGCAATTACCGTCCTCGCTGGTTTTTCTCAGTGGTCAGAGCATCGGCCTGTGGGCTGAAGGGTCAAGGGCACATACCTCAGGTTGCAGGCTTGAGGCCAGGGCATGTGCAGGCAGCAACCAATCGATGTGTCTCTCTCACATTAATGTTTCTCTCTCTCTCTTTCTCTCCCCCTCCCTTTCACTCTGAAAACAATGGGGGGAAATATCCTCAGGTGAGGATAAATAAAAGTGCAGTTACCCACAGCCCACCCCAGTGCGGTCTGATTTGGTAACTTGGAATATAACTTGGTTCTCTAATTTTGTTGGTCCCCTTTTTACCAGTGTCCACTAAATTTGAGAACAAATGTTATAAGGAATGATAAGAGATGAAAAGGCCAGCACAGTTTACAATATGGTTCCAGTTTTTGAGCTAATACTGACTAAACAGGGGCCTACAGAGCATAGAGCCCCACAGGGGGCCTGCAGGCTGGGCACCTGCCGCACAGCCTCATTCATGGATGGGCATTTCCCTGTTCCGTCTGTCCCAGGTGTGCCGGCTGCATAGTCCTCTCTTTCACCTCATTGGCCTACAGCTTGGCAAGAAGGGAGAACTTCGTGGTATAGGGGGGAAGGAGGAAGGCCAAGCCCAGCCCACCCTCCTCCCACCATTCCTGTCAGCCCAGTGCGGCCCTGACTATGATGGCTGCCAAAGGGGGCTGGTGAGAATATTGGCTGCTGCTCTGGGACCCGTGCCCCAGGGCCACCCAGTTCCCTCTGCTTTTAAATAAACATCTTCCTAATCCCTCTCACTCCAGCTTGTCGGCCAGCAAATATGTCATTGTTCTAGCATCTTTTCTTGTCTGGGAAGCTCTTTATATGTCCTTCAATTCTAAATGATAGCTTTGCTGGGTAGAGTAATCTTGGTTGTAGGTCCTTGCTTTTCATCGCTTTGAATATTTCTTGCCCAGTCCCTTCTGGACTGCAAAGTTTCAGTTGAAAAAATAGCTGATTGTCTTAATGGGAGCTCTCTTGTAGATAACTAAGTGCTTCTCTTTAAAAAAAATAAATAAAGTTTTCTTCTTAATCCTCACCTGAGGACATGTTGAGAGAGAGGGAGAGAGAAACATCAATGAGAGAGAGAAACATCAATGAGAGATAGAAACATCAATGAGAGAGAGAAACATCAATGTGAGAGAGAAACATCAATGAGAGATAAATGTTAATCAGTTTCCTTCTGTTCAAACCTGCAACCCAGGTATGTGCCCTGACTGGGAATCGAACCAGCAAGCTTTTGGTACCTGGAGAATGCTTGACCAACTGAGTCACTCTGTCCAGGCCCAACTGCTTTTCTTGCTGCTTTTTAGATTCTCTCTTTCACCCTAGCTAGTTTGGCTCAGTGGATAGAGTGTCGGCTTGTGGACTGAAAGGTCCCAGGTTTGATTCTGGTCAAGGGCACAGGCCCCGGTTGTGGGCTCCATCCCCAGTAGGGGGTGTGCAGGTGGCAGCCGATCAGTGATTCTCTCTCATCATTGATGTTTCTAGCTTTCTCTTCCTCTCCTTTCCTCTCTAAAATCAATAAAAAAATGTATTTTTTTTTTTAAAAAGATCCTCTCTTTGTCTTTAGTGTTTTGCATTTTAATTATGGGTCTTGGTGTGGGCTTCTTTGGGTTCATACTATTTGGGACTCTGCATTTCCTGGACTTGTACTTCATCTTCCTTTATGGTTAGGGAAATTTTCTGTCATTTTTTCAGATAGGTTTTCAATTTCTTGCTCTCTCTTTTTTCCTTCTGGCACTCCCACGATGCAAATGTTGGTATGCTTGAAGTTGTCCCAGAGGCTCCTTACACCATCTTCATTTGGGGGATTTTTTTTTTTTCTTTTTGCTCTTCTGATTGGGTTGGTTCTTTATAGTTCAGATCACTAAAAAAAAAAAAAAAGAAAGAAAGAAAAAAATCTTGAAAGTTACAGGCTTACTGAATAAATTTCAGACTCCTCAGCATGGCCTTTACAGACATTGACACTCTAGGCTCATAGCCCATAAGTTCCCATCCTGAAATTTTGTGCTTTTGCGGTTCCGCACTGCCTGGAATATCCCTCCAACCTGGCCCTCTAACTCACGGGCACTTCCATTGCCTGTGCCCAGCCCACTCATTCCTCAAGTTCCAGCTCAAATGCCAGGCTCTCCTCTGCCAGGAGTGGTGCACACTGCTGGTAAAGCACTCGCACACTGTGCTGTTTTCTCTTGGCGTCTGCCCCTCCCTCCCACCCCTCTCCATGCTGAACTGAGTGGCCAGGACCTGCCTTCTGATTCCTCAAGCCCTAGCTCCGTGCCTACAGAGGTGTCCTCAGGGAATGTTTGCTGTCTTGACATTGAACCAAATGAGGCCAGAATTGAGAAACCCAAGTTATTCAACATAATTGATGTTTAAAGTGCCCAAAGATGTATTAAATGAGTCGGCTTGATGCTGGGTGGTTGTTGTTTTTTTATGATTTCCAGTATCTTCATCAAATTAATTCAGTGAGTTAATCTATAAAAAGTTCATCTTCAAGACCATCATCAGACCACAGAATTAATCTACTGAACTGCAGCTGCTTTTTTTTAAAGGATTAATGGTAACCCTTTTTATCTTTTGTGTCTGTTGAACCTTAGAAAAAAGTTATTTTAACAGCCCTAAAGAAATGAAAGTCACTATATTTCATAAGTTTAGCCTGTGATTTTTATCAGCATAGTGATGTATGTTTGTAGCTGAGTTTACATCAAAAATTATTCTTAGGGCCTTCTTGAATGAATTATGGCAAAGGGAGAGAGTCTAGAAGTAGATAAGGTTTTTGATTTCTGCAATATATTTCCTTTTTCGTGTTTTTATCTCCTGTAACACAAGTGTCTTGCTGGAGACTAGAACGTGTGACCAACTAAAATAATTTCATCGTGAACACAGAGCGAACGTGTTATTAAACAGCCTTCTTCACAAAAAGGGAGGATAATGAAGTTGTTCCTGGTCTTCCCTGAGACATGTTTGTCAGGATTTTGAACAAAAAAAGAAATGATTTTTAAAAACCTTCGTCTATGGCCAGTTTGCAGTGTTTATTGAGAAAGCTGCTGTCAAGCCATTAATTTGGTCGTCACGAACACAACTCAAGTTTAATGGATGCCATATCCAAAAAGTGTGTGAGCAGCTGACTTGGCAGAGGAGCCGAGCATCAGCACGCCTGCAGTGAGACGCATAATTACATCCATGGTGGCCAGAGGAGCCGGCTCCGGAGCCGGGCATGCGAGGGAAGGTTCGGTGCTCTGTCCCTGGAACCGAATGACTAAACAGACACGCCTTTTTTTAAAATTGGACATTGTAAATATGGACTCTTAAAGACTTAGTTGAGAAAATTGGGTCTCCAAAGTGCAGAAATTAAGAATAATGTCGGCCTTCCCAGACTTTAAAAAAAACACATATGCTGCGATACTATTATTTAAATCAGTGATTTCTCAGGCTGGGTTTGCCACTCCTAAGGGTATCTTTTGCTGTTTTGAAGGCTGTCACAAACCTCTGAGAAATGGATTAATTCTAACTGAACAGAGATGTGTATGGCACATAGGAAAGGAGGATATTTCCATATCAGAAGCTGCCATGGTTAAAGATCTCAGGGAAATAATTCTCCATCGTCACACAGGCCTCACATAGGCTTTCTCTTTAAGTGCTCGCCTCGAATTCCAACACTGACACAAAAGCAAGGGACCCGCCTCCTATGCACTCGCTCCCATCTGAGACTCTGCTGCATTCACAGAAGTACCAGGCTCAGCCAGGCCAGGTCTGCTTTTCTCATTCAGAGTCTTTAAAGGAAGCAACCTGTCATTAAGAAATCGGATTTCCTAGTAAACCTTAATAAAGTAGCTGTCGTCTTCATAGCTGAAAAAGAGCTCTGTATCTCAATTAAATATAGATCATAGAAAATCTTAAGGAAGCAGCATAATAGAGGTAACCTGATTACATTGTCTTGCAATAGTATAATTCAAAGGAAATCTGATTCTGTTGATGCTGGTTATGTTGGTGGGGGATTATTGGTTTGGGGTTGTTTGTGTATTGGTTTGTTTTTGTCCAAAATACTGTGTGGCTCCAGGGTAGGAACTCTGAGATTGAGTTAACCCAGCGGTGGGAGACTGCTAAGCCCCACCTCGTGAGTAGGATCTGTGGAATATTTGCAATGAGACTCAG